GCACGGCCTGCAGCTCCGTCGCCTCCGTCGCCTTGTCGGCCCCAGCCTCAGCAAGCTGCCACAGCTTCACATTCGCCCGCGGCGAGACATTCGCCAGCCCGCCAATGACGCCCGCGGCACCGCTCGCGTGCGCCGACAGCGTGAAATCCGCGCTGCCCGCGAAGCAGAGGAAGCTCTCGCCCGACTTGCGCACGGCGGCGGCCACGCGGCCCAGCTTGCCCGTGTTGCCGCAGGTGAACTTGCACCCGACGATGTTGGCGTGGCGGCTCAGCCGCACCAGCACGTCCGAGTTGATGTCGATGCCGGGCGTCGCGCCGGGGTAGTTGTAGACGATCACCGGGATAGGCGAGGCGTCGGCCACGGCAACGAAGAAGCCCTCGACCGTCGCCACGTCAAACAGGCCCGCGTAGTAGCTCGGCGGCAGCACCAGCGCGTAGTCTCCCCCGTGGGCGGCCGCCTGGCGGCACAGGCTGACGGCCTCGACGACGGACTGCGCGCCGCAGCCGACAATCAGCGGCATGGCCGCGAAGCCCGCGGCGTCGAGGGCCGCGCGCGTCGCCTTGGTGATGGCGTTGCGCTCCTCGTGCAGCAGGTGCGCGGCCTCGCCGTTGGAGCCCTGCACGGCCAGCCCCGCGACGCCGGCCTTGGCCAGGCGCACCGCGTGCCGCGACACTGTCTTGACGTCCAGCTCGTCCGTCTCCGGGTCGAAGAAGGCCACCGTCGGGACGTAGATGCCGCGGGCCAGGGGCCGGGACGGACGCTCGCCGGCTGCGGCTGCGGCAGCGGCCTCGGTGTAGGCTGAGGGGGACATTGTGTTGTTGGTTTTGTGTGTTGGAACAACGGGCTTGTCTCCTGTTATGGTGAGAGAGGCGGAATAATATAAGAGAAGGGATGTGATAGATGATACGGAGAATATAGTAAGACCGTCAAGCCTCAAAGTCAAAAGAGAATGACACAACAGAATGTCTCACAGAGCAAGCCACCAACAAGCACATAAGACCTTTTACTCAAGGACACAATAAGAAGAAAAAGAAGAGAAAGGAGAAAAGGACAAGGGAGAAAAGGGGAAAAAAGGAACCGGGAGGCAAGATGGCAGCTCGGTACCTACATACATCAGCATGTCATCCTCGCCTCCATGGCTATGCTACGACCTTATTTGCCGAGAAAACGTCCCCAAGTCAGCTCGAAAAAACACGCGACTATCGAAGTGCCAATGTCGTGCTCCGCGGGCCAAGAAGGAACAATGAGCCCCAATAAAGCAACACAGAGAGGCAAAAAGGTCAAGAGGCCAGAGGGAACGAGCAGTACCCCCACGCTCCCCATAGTTTCTGATCCATGGCAGAGCGATCTGCTGATGCATGTGGGATTTGCTTCGTACAGAAGGGAGAGTAAAAGGTACTACTAGTACTACCAAGGAAAACCCCCAAGTCTTGGTCCGCCTTCTCCCTCCCCCTCATCTTATCCCGTGCAAGAGACTGCGAGTACATAGTAGTATGCCCTTTGATACTTACCCCCTTTAGCAACTAGTTTAACCTGACTTGTCTCCCATCTCTATTTCTGAGCGAGTTTCTGCTCGAATAAAAGCAGCGCCACATTGGAGCTTCCCCGTCTTTTGGGGGGAAGTGAGGAGTGAAGTGTGGGGGAATCCTCCGGAACTCCACCGAGCTTTGTCCCCATGTCGTGAAGCTGGACAGACGGAGGTTTCTGGACTCCGTACCTGCAGCTTGCAGACTGACTCGAGCAGTTCAGAGGATGGACGGGATTCAGCGTTCTGCTCTCGTCAGTAATCACGTCCATATTGTCGACATTATACTCACAAGCTCTATAGGAATAGACCAGAAAACCCCCCCTTATTTGCAGTCGGTGGGGGTCTCGGCTGCTGAAGCTCTCAAAACGCCTTTGTGATGCTACTCTAGATTTGACAAAACACCCATCCACATCGAACAGAAGCATCACGAGCCCGTATCAAGCTCTCACATAGGACCCTCCAGTTCACCCGCTAATCACAAATCCTCCAAAACATCCCCCGGCAATCCCCCATCACCACCCCCTAGCCTTGACCCAAACATCAACAACCTCATCCTCCCTGCCCTCCAAATCCTCATCCACCACGAAATACCACCCAAAGTGACTGCTCGTAATGCACGCATGGTTCGGCCACAGCCTCACCCTCTGCCCGGCCTCGAGCCTATCCCCCTGAGGCCCCAGCCCCAGCGCAGCAGTCCTCCTCTTGCCCCCCGCCCACGTCAGGATCCCGTGCTCCTGCGCAAACCTCCCCACCGTCCAGCCCTCAAAGTCCTCCACGTCGCCCTCGGGCATCTTCGCCCCGGCGCCCCTCCTCCCCCACGGCGTCGCCACCGCCATCCCGTCGTACGCCTTGCAAAACTCCCGGCCCAGCGCCAGCCCGCCCGCCCCGATCAGCGCCTCGTCCGTGCCGTTGGCCCCCCGGCCGGGATACACCCCGTGCACCTCCGCCACCACCGTCAGCGCAATGTCGCGCCACGACAGCCGCGACGCCGCCGCGCTGTGCGCCGCCAGCTGCTGCAGGTCCAGCGTCGGGTACACGCCCGCGTGGATCTCCACCGCGTGGCCCTTGTCCTTGACCGCGCCGAACAGCTCCGCCAGCTCCTTGGCCGCCTGCTGGAGCTCCGGCGGTCCGGCCTCCTCCTCCTCCTCCGCAGCCGCCGCCTCTCCTCCTCCTCCTCCGGCGACCAGGTTCTGCACCGCCAGCGCCGTGGGCGACGCGCCCGCGGAGACCACCAGCGTCGGCAGCTTCACCCCCTTGTCCTTGGCCTCGGCCACCAGCCTCTCCGCGCCGCTGAGCATGGCCTCGACCTCGGCCTTGAGCATCCTCACCGCCGCCACCCGGCTGTCCCCCTATACCAAACACACACTATACCACCCGACTACCAAACTACGATCTGATAACTTAACTGCTCCGACGTTCAACCGCTCCTACACTCGTCCGGCCGCTTAAACTAACAGAGCTGCGAAAGCCTCCGCCTCAAAGAAAACGGAAACGACCTCCTCATATTCTCGTTCCCCTCCGTCCAGTTGCACTCATGAGAGGACATAGTATAGTGAATGTTCGTCACATTCTCCTTTGCCGTTACTCTAGTTTCCGACTACGCAAGATGTCTAGGAGATGCCGGACGGGTAGAGCGTTCCGCGGCAGGGGGCTGAACGCCGCTAACGGTTCCGGGAGCCGCTCCCGTCGTAGAGTCAAGATGAGCTGCTGGGCCGCGTCGACCAGCGGCGCCGCCTGGACGTCTTCCGCAGCCCGCACTTCGGCGACCGCGTGTAGTTCTAGCTGTACCCGCCCTTCGCCCGCCCGCAGCACCTCTCGTCGCTCGCCAAGCAGCTCCACCGGCTCCGCCGCGACCTCCGCGTGGCCCGCCCGGCCCGCCACGAGAGCCCGGACATGAGCGTACGGCCCGTGAGCATGCC